GGAAGGTGGGAACTAGACCAGCCCTGTTCACTGGACTCCCATGGATGTGACATCTGGTGATGCTCGGCGCCCTCTGCTGGAAGGTGGGAACTAGAAAGCGTCTTTGAGGCCAAGGATCCCTGACCCTGGACAAGTCACCTGCCTCAGCTAAAGCCCTGTGACTAGGTCTAGGACAGGGAACAGCCAAACGGCCTCATCAAAAATGTGGACAGACACCAGGAGAGGAGGGCCCTGTCTCACCACCGATAATGCAAACATTAGAAAAACTTCACACCACATTTCTGACTTCTGCCTGGGTGCTCAGAGACCTAGGAGGCTGCTCAGGCCAAGAAAACTGCCATTTACATCATCAGCATGTGGGCTCACCAGCTGTCAACCCCCACATTTAAGGCACTGACATTACTTCTCAACACTTAAATAATTTTAGAGGTCACAAGGAAACAGAACTCTGGTTTATGAAGGGGACACACATTTAAAAATCACAAGAAAAGAAATACCAAAGGGTAGAAGCTCTCTGCCCAAAGAAACAAAGCAAAAACAATGGCAGAAGAAAAAATCATTTGTTCCCCATCACAACACAACAAAGCCTAATAGGGTGACATCATATGACGCGCTACACAGCTCTTAGTTCTACCTCAAAATCACCTTCGGTTTTGGGTTTTTCAAATATGTGGGGATTTCTTTCAGAAATGAGTGAAATGATCAGTTTCTCTAAATATAAAAATTATCAAACATTAAAATCCTATTGAAACTCCCTTTATCTCTATGGTTTTATAGAGTAGCAAATCTGACATATGCCTCTTACTCTTTCAGTAACACTGGGGCATATAATTAATTGAGGGGTATAATGGTTGGAGAAGAATTCTTTCAATACAATATCATGAAAAGGAAATATGCTTATAAATACCATTGCTAGCACCCTGAAAATGACAACTGACCCTCTCTAAGTTCAGTGATCGTCACCCAAGCCCTTCTCTGGAAGACGTTCGCTCCATCCATCTCTAAGTGGCGGGCGCTCTCACCTGCTCTCCTGCCTGCGGTGGTCCTGCTGCTCCACCCTGACCATCGGCTTCACCATCCCTCGCTCAGCCGTGCTGGAGGCAGAGGGTCCTCGGTCGCTGTCCAGCCTGGAGGCACTCTGCTGGAGGAAAAACACCGTGAGCTTGAAAACACCATACAGACTAGCCAAGCGTTACCTTCTCTAGCGCAGGGAGCAACCTGCCAGGTGCCAGACGGCAGACGCAGGGGAGCACAGACCTGAAACCAAGATGGCAGTGCTGAAGGCGTACGCGCACACGGCGTGCGATAAGCCTGGGAAACCCTAAGGGACAGTTTTTGTTTGTCATATAGAGTTGCTGTGAGTTGAAATCGACTTGACAGCACACAACAACAGCAACGTATTTATACATTTTTAACAGAATTGTATCACTGTCTCTCCATTCATGCACATGCGTATGTGCAGACACGCACACACACCTTTATGTCCAGCTTCTGTAAGCGGTTATTTTGTGAGCATTTCCTCGTGTCTTTAAAAATCATTTGAAAACAACTGGAAGTTGCTTTGTAACGGGCCACTGTCTAACCATAGTGACCTATGTATTCATTGCCCTATTAGTCGTCGTAGCACTTTTACTTTCAAAGTGCCAGGGAGTGGCTTTCAAACATGGGCATGGATACGTGTCTCTCTCACACACACACACACTCACGCACACACGGCCCCTTTTACTTTCAAAGTGCCAGGGAGTGGCTTTCAAACACGGGCATGGATGTGTGTCTCTCTCACACACACACACTCACTCACACATATACACAAACACAGAAGCTTTTCAAAAAGTATAATAATAGTCACTTTATTCCAAAAAGTTCAGGACTGCTGAGAGAACACATACGATTCGAAGAGTTAGGCTCTTTTGTTCACTTGTCGGTTTTAAGGAAAAATTCAGAAATCCTGCTCGTTACAACTCAACAGCTAATGAAGAATTCGGCACAGAAACTAGCATATTCCTTGCCCTTAAACAATACAGAGAAAAAACACAGACACAGCAACCCAGTGTGGTATATTTAAGTTCTTCCAGACAGTACACATTACTACCAACCCATGGCAGACAAAAAGGATGAGTTACCTATATTAAGAAAACAACTAGAACAGAATGAAAAAACTTACATACAAACAAATTCAAAGTCACAAAAATTTTACATAAGATTTCTTATTATGAAAACGTTTACTGTAGAAATAAAGCACAGAGAAGAAATAAAAATCATCCTTAACTTACCTCCAGAGATTAACACAGTGAGGCACAGACCTTTCTAGTATTTCCTATTTCCTGCAAGTGAGATGAGACAACTGACTTTGTAAAGATCTCTTTTTCATATACTGGAAGCACCTTCAGTATCCCTTGTCTAGGCCTTACATAACCGGGATGGCTGTACAACACTTTGCTGTCTATTCACCAAATTCATTAACCCAGTGCGTTGCTGCATGGTGTAAAATGTTCACCAGAACGAAGAGTGCTGTGATAACTGTGCTGGCAAATTATCTTCACAAACAGCGACCATTTCCATAAGATGAATTACAGAAATGGACCTGCCTGGTGATGGATGGCAATACTATTCAGAATACAAAAAATTGCTACGACGACTAATAGGGCAATGAATACATAGGTCACTATGGTTAGACAGTGGCCCGTTACAAAGCAACTTCCAGTTGTTTTCAAATGATTTTTAAAGACACGAGGAAATGCTCACAAAATAACCGCTTACAGAAGCTGGACAGAAAGGTGTGTGTGCGTGTCTGCACATACGCATGTGCATGAATGGAGAGACAGTGATACAATTCTGTTAAAAATGTATAAATACACACGTTGCTGTTGTTGTGTGCTGTCAAGTCGATTTCAACTCACAGCAACTCTATATGACAAACAAAAACTGTCCCATAGGGTTTCCCAGGCTGTAATCTCTATGGGAGCAGACCACCAGGTCTTTTCTCCTGTGGAGCCACTGGGTGGGTTCAAACCAACAACCTTTTGGTTAGCAGCTAAGCCCTTAACCACTGCGCCACCAGGGCTTCTTATAAATACACATATACACACATAGAGTTCAGAAAAGGATCCATCAAAATATTACCAATGGTCAACTACAAACTGTAGATGAGATTTTTATTTTTTATATTTTTTTCTCTATTTACTAAGTTTTCTATGTTGACTACATTCTTATAAGAAACTAAATTTTTACGAAAAGTTATATTTGCATGTCAACACATACTGACTTTCGTATGTGCCAGGCGCTCTCCCAGGCACTGCAAACGCAGCATGAGCAGCTGAGGCAAGGCCCCTCCTCACACAGAGCTCATCTTCTAGTGGGCTTGGTGCGGCGGGGGCGGCCAACAGATACGGAAGAGGAGGCAACAGTGTTGGAGGCTGCACGAAGGCTAATATACGGTGCTGTGGATGCTTGAGGGGGGCTGTAAGCTGAAGTCTGAACTAGAAGGACGGACTGTCGTTAGGTGTCATCGACTCAGTTCCGACTCACAGTGACCCCATGTACAACAGAACAAAACACTGCCCAATCCTGCGACATCCTCACAATCCTTGTTATGCTTGAGCCCACTGTTGCAGCCACTGTGTCACTCCATCTCATTGAGGGTCTTCCTCTTTTTCACTCACCACATACTTTACCAAGCATGACGTCCTTCGCCAGGGACTGGTCCCTCCTGACAACATTTCCAAAGTATGTGAGACATAGTCTCGCCATCCTTGCTTCTAAGGAGCATTCTGGTTGTACTTCTGCCAAGACAGATTTGTTCATTCTTTTGGCAGTTTGTGGTATTATTCAACATTCAACACCACAATTCTAAACCATGAATTCTTCTTTGGTCCCCCTTATTCACTGTCCAGCTTTCCCATGCATCTGAGACAATTGAAAACATCAAGGCTTAGGTCAGATGCACCTTAGTCTTCAAGGTGACATCTTTGCTTTTCAACACTTTAAAGAGATCTCTTACAGCAGATGTGCCTAATGCAATGCGTCCTCTGATTTCTTGACTGCTACTTCCATGGGTGTTGATTATGGATCTAAGTAAAATGAAATGCTTAACAACTTCAATCTTTTCTCCGTTTATCATGATGTTGCTTACTGGTCCAGTTGTGAGGATTTTTGTTTCCTTTATGTTGAGGTATAATCCATACTGAAGGCTGTGGTCTTTGATCTTCATCACTAAGTGCTTCAAGTCCTCTTCACTTTCAGCAAGCAAGGTTTTGTCATATGCATAACATAGGCTGGTAATAAGTCTTCCTCCAATCCTGATGCCCCGTTCTTCTTCATACAGTCCAGCTTCTCGGATTATATACTTGCTCAGCATACAGACTGAGTAAGTATGGTGAAAGGATACAACCCTGATACACACCTTTCCTGACTTTAAACCATGCAGTATCCCCTTGTTCTGTCTGAACGACTGTCTCCTGATCTACATACAGGTTGCTCATGAGCACAATTAAGTGTCCTGGAAATCCCATTCTTCCCAATGTTATCCATGATTTGTTATGATCCACACGGTCGAATGCCTTTGCATTGTCAATAAAACATAGGTAAACACCTTTCTGGTATTCTCTGCTTTCAGCCAGGATCCATCCGACATCAGCAATGATATCCCTCATTCCAAGTCCTCTTCTGAAACTAGCTTGAATTTCTGGTTGAAGGGGCCAGTCATGTGAAAATCAGTGGGAAGAGCAGTCTAGGCAGAGCAAAGGAACTAGCACAAAGAAAGGCCTCAGAAGGGAAAGAGTGGTGCCCTCTAAGACAAGACCAGTGTGGTCTGAGTGCAGGAACCACGAGACCAGCACAGACAGGCTGAGTGAAAAGATGCAGGGCGTGGCAAAGCGCTTTTTAAGCCAGGGCAAAGCTTTTTATTATATTTGGGGACTTTAGAAGCAAGACAGCAACAGAATCTAATTTGCATTTTTAAAATACCAGGCCTGCTGCTGTGAGGCTTGAGGGATCTGAGGAGGGATGCTATGCAACAGGCTCCGCAGGACTCCTGTGGTGCGAGACTGCAGCCTGCCCAGATCTCTAGCCGGGAAGACGGAGAAAAGCAGACTCAGACTACCCTGCAGAGCAGAGCAGGTACCACGTTCTCACCTGTGGGTGCAGAGGTGAGAGAAGGAAAGGGATCAAGGATAACTTGCACCAGATTGCTGGCGGAGCCAGGCTGTGCGTGATGAGATCATTTAATGAGATGGAGAAGGATCAGGGAAAGAAGTGTGCTGGAGAAAAAAATGTAGCTGTGCTTTTAGCTATGCTAAATCTGATAAGCATGTTAGACTTCCAAGTGGACGTGTCAAGCAAGCCTGCAGACACGTATGTCTGGGGGGGGTCAGGGCTGAAGACACCCACCCAGGAATAATGAACGTATATGCTCGGGTAAGATCACCTAGGGAACATGTAGGCACATGTCTGTGACCTGGGCCCTCCCTCCACATTTTGCAAGTCAAGCACAGGAGGATGGAAAAGGGACAACCACCAGGGAGACAAGAGACCAGGAGAGGACACCCCGGAAGCCAGAAGAACGTGCATCAAGAAGGTGACGGTAAACGAGTCAAATGCTGCTGAGACACGCAGGATAAGAACAGAAACTAAACACTGGGTTTGGCAATCGGGGGGTCACTGGTTGCCCTGGCAGGCACGGTCCCCAGGGAGGTGGGGGGAGCCCAAATGGGACTCGAGGACAGAATACGGATTAGAAATAAGAGAGAGCAACCGTGTATTACTTTAAGAAATTCTGCTATGAACACGGGCAGGCACATAGGGGCAGTATCTGCAGGGTGCAGTCAGGGTTTCTGAAAGCGGGAGATGCGTACCACTCTGACACTGATGGATGGGGGCCCCTGATAAGTGACCCCTCGAGCAGCCCTTCCCCTGGGGTCGGGCTGAGCCTGCAATCTGCTTTAACCTGTGAACTGTGGAGGAACTGAGGCCAGGCAGTTCGGGGCCGGAGAAGGCCAGCCACCTGACAGGAGGCTGTGAGCCCACATGGCCAGGAGCCGAGAGGCCCGGCCGGCCCAGCTCCCAGCATCACCCAGCCACCAAGTGACCCACCAGCAGAGTGAAGTCACACAAGGAACCGCCAGGCAGACTAGGAGAAGCACGGTCCAGGTCAGCCCAAACCAGACCGCATGATTGCTAAGCAAACGAAACAGCTGTTGCTTTCGCCCACTAAGCTTTGGGTGGCCAGTTACTCAGCAACAGATAATCAAAATAAAAGGGGAAAAATTACTATACACGAGATAAAGGATAACTGTGGAGGGAAAGTGTACCAGCAGGTCAGAGAGGAGGGCTGACAGAAGCTGGAGCCCGTATCTTCAGGGGCACTGAAATCTAGAAGGCCGGTTACACACAGGACAAGGTAAGAAAACATGTATTCTCTGCACAGAAAGAAAGCAAACTCCCCTGGCCTTGGGCAAAAAGATGGAGTCTGCTGACTTCCTTTCAGGGATCACTGAGAGAGAGCATAGCCCCCGTTTAGGGGCCACGCTGAAGTTGCTTTTACCAAGGGGCTTTATGCGTATACAACAGAGACTTTCTCCCTGGTATCCCATGATGTACAACACACACAGTCCTATCAGGTAATACACAATCAGCTACCTTGCTTGTTGGTAATGCTGTTCCACTGTGCACATCTCCTTCCAAATCAAAAGTGGTCTCCTGAACAATTCTGTGAGGGTAAAAGAAGAAATATATAAAATAAATAACTTTAAAATGACAAGACATAGTATCTTTTTTTAATAATACAAAAGAACCAAATCCAAAAAACCCGTTGCTGTGAAGTCGATTCCGACTCACAGCGACCACACAGGACACGGGAGGGTTTCCCAAGGAGTGACTGGTGGATTCGAACAGCTGGCCTCTTGGCTGGCAGCCAAGCTCTTAGCCAACGCGCCACCAGGGCTCCACTAAAGGAACAACCTGTTGCCGTTGAGTCGATTCCGACTCATAGCGACCCTACAGGACAGAGGAGAACTGCCCCATAGAGTTTCCAAGGAGCAGCTGGGGCATTCGAGCTGCCAACCTTTTGGTTAGCAGCCAAGCTCCTTAACCACTGTGCCACCAGGGCTCCAACAAGAGGAATAGTTGGCTAAATACTCCAGTGTTAAAAAATGTTTAAGAAGTTGCTTTATTTTTAACACAAACTTAGAGAATAATAAAAATTCTCTACTGCAACTTCATGAACTTTTCTTACTTAGGTATACTGAATACTTACGGGATCATATTTTTAAAAACAATAATAACGAGAAATTGAAAGGAAACATAAAAAAGCATGCTGTGTCATTAAACACACTGATCTAGGCTCCACCTGGTGGCACAGTGGTTAAAACACTCGGCTACTAACCCAAAGGTCGGTGGTTCAAACCCACCAGCCGCTCTGCGGGAGAAAGATGTATCAGTCTGCTTCTGTAAAGATTACAGCCTTGGAAACCCTGTGGGGCAGTTCTGCTCTGTCCTATAGGTCGCCAGGAGTCGGAATCAACTTGACGGCAACAGGTTAGGTTTTGGTTTGCATCCAGGCTCCGACGGCATGTAAATGAAATATAACTGCAGAGACCGAGTCGCCCGCTGCTGTGTTCACGTGCAGTCAAAGAACGATGACCACAGAAAAAGACAAGAAACAATGGCTAAACCACCTTCCTGTTTGAAAGGGAATTTGATCATCTTTGTAAAGCACACGTATCTCACTACTTAGGCTATAAAGAAAGAAACGAGGAGACTGATGTTGACGTCAGTAATCACATCAAGAATTACCCTACCATGAGATTTTGAGTATCTAGAAATACCCAAACTTCTAAACTCATCACTATAAAAATTAAGTCGACATTCCATCTTGGAGCGTGCTAACCTGAGGCGAGCTACAGCTCCCCAGTCACACGTGAAGGGCACACACTCCACCGGTCCTGGCCCTTCAGGAAGGCTTGACCCGATGGAGAGACCAGAGGGCACACACTCCACCGGTCCTGGCC